GTTGGCGGGGTGTGAGTTGCAGGGGGGCGTGTAGGCAGCCAAGGGAGAGTTTTAGGGGATGCGGGCTCCTCGTTGGCGGGGTGTGAGTTGCGGGGGCGGGGGGCAGCGTGCTCCCGATTCTCGCGCGTGGGTTCCTGCGCTTGGTCAGCACCCTGTTCTAGGGAGGTGAGGGCGCGTCTCTACCCGGGTTAGGGAGAAGGGCGGGGAAAGTCGGGTTTGGAGAGGTGCCGGGAGCCCTCCTGGGGAGGTTCTTGCCAGCAATCCGTGGTGGTTTCGTCCGGAACACCACCCCCAACCCTGGCCGCCCGCGGCCGGACGCTGCGTCCTCCTCCTTGTCCCAGGAAGTGGACAGATGAGGAAACTCAGGCCCGGCGGGCGCCCGCCCTTCAATCCCCGCCCGAGAAAGCCTGCTGAGGCCGGGGTCCCAGAACTGCCCACCCGAGACTGCGGGACAGGGGAGCAGATGGGCTCTAAGGTTAAGCAACCTTGCTCCGCCATTGCCAGGGGCGCGCGGATCTGGCGCGCGGGTATAGACTCTCCGCTGCGATATAGACGGCCTGGCAGTGGGACCTCCGTGCTGTGGGAGGCCGCTTTCCCCTGCAGCGGGCTGGAGTGTGCGTTTCTTTCGTGGCTGCTCCTCCTCAGTAGATAGGACACAAGACAAAGGCAGGGTTTGTCTGCCTCGGTCACCCCTGTGTGCTCCAGGGCAGGGCAGGCTGGGTGGACACTCAGAAAAATGTGCTTAACAAGTGTATTTGGTCCCTGAATCCTCAGTCTCTGACCCCTTCTTCATGTCATTTCCGTCAGTAAGGATATTGAAAGGCAGCATTTTATGAGCTAAAATGTAGAGAACATTGAATTACAGTCGATATTGTTTTTCAGTATTATTTCCATAGCATAGTAAAAGGTTGGTATTGGAAGGGACCTTAAAAGTTACATGGTTCGACCATCTTGCCAAAGCAGTAACCTTGGCAGATAGGGAGGCAGCCTCCTAGTGAATTCCACTATTGGGACCCCCCACTGGTAAGAACTTATTTATGTGAAGTGCCTACCTCCCTCTCTGCAGCTTCTAGCCAGTCGATTCCACTTTTTCCCTTTGAAATAAGGCAGAGTAATCGCACCTTCTTTTATATGCTACCAAAACCAAACCAAATCCGTTGCCGTTGAGTCAATTCTGACTTATAGCGACCCTGTAGGACAGAGTAGAACTGCCCCCATAGGGTTTCCAAGGAGCAGCTGGTGGATTCAAACTGCCCACCTTTTGGTTGGCAGCCCAGCTCTTAACCGCTGCACCACCAGGGCTTCATTTTACACGATACAGCCCTTCAACTATCTGAAGGTCTCTGTCCTGACCACCACGTTGCCCATTCTCTAGCCTGAATGTCAGCAACTGCTGCATGACCCGGTTTCCAGACTTCCCTCTAATGTGGTCGTGTTTCTTTCTTTTCATGAAAGCACCTGCTGTGTCAGTCAAGATTGTGTTGCAGTAACAAACAGCCCCCACAGCTCAGTGGCTCACAAGCCAAACCTGGTTACTCACCCTCACTATGTGTTCACTGCGGGTTGGTTGGGCCTTTGCTCTGAGATAGTCTCGCTCAGGGAGGCAAATTAACAGCCTGCAACATTTGGAACACGGTCAGTCCCCCGGACGGGGCTCAGCGGCTCTCAAGGGCAGCAGCCAGAGGTCACGCCTCCTCACTCATTTTTATTGGCCAAAGCCCCTGTCAGCTCCACACCCAGCTTTAAGGAGAGGGGCTTCCTACCACGTTCCCCGAAGGAGAAGAATATGAATTTGGTAGATAGCTTGGGTCTCTGTCCTGGAGAAGCTCACGTGCTTACTGTCTGGGGATGCCCATTGCCCCGTTCCCGTCTCACCTAAAGCGGTGTTGAAGGGCTCAGAGCCCAGTTGTGATGTTCGCACCCTGAACATATACGTCCTGTGTTGTTTCGTGCATCCTGGGCTGCACCCAGCTGTTGCAATGGTGTACACAATGCAGGCTGCAAGGCCAAAGCGTTGCCTGCACCTTTGGTTCGAAACCCTGAGTAATGAATCGAGCTGTCTGGGGACAATCGAAACAACTGACGTCATTTGTAATATAAAAATACACCAGTTGGTGAGGAGACACGCAGCTTTCTCTGGCCCCAAGACCCGAGAGGCACTCTTCCTCTGTCAATAAGTAGGTGGCATTCCAGTCTGTCTGTGACAGCTTCCGTCCCTCGAGGCCCACAGACACCTTCTAGCTGCACTAAGACTGTGGGGTCCAAGCTGTGCGTGCCGGGTGAGCTGCTTATCTGGTAATGACACTGAGAACGTATGCACGGGCAGGGTGAGGCCTGGGGGCAGACTTCTCTGAATCTTATTACCGCAGCCCAGCTTGGGATAAGAAGTAGAAAGGAAAGATTGTAGTCCTCTGCTGCCAAGTGTCAGATGTGCCAGCCCAGCTTGTGATAAGCAGTAGAAAGGAAAGATTGTAGACGCACCAACACTCCTCCGAGGCGCTCTGCTCTTCCTGCCTGGGCAGAAGCAACACCTTTGTGTTTCCTGCTGAATATCTAGTATCCGAAAAGTGTGGCTTTGTTTAAAGGGTCTCTTTCGCATAGAAGGAGGCCTGGTGGCGCAGTGGTTAAGAGCTCAGCTACTAATCAAAAAGGTCAGTAGTTCGAATCCACCAGCTGCGGCTTGGAAACGCTATGGGGCAGTTGTATACCGTCCTACAGGGTTGCTCGGAGTTGAAATCGACTCAGTGGCAAGGGGTTTGGTGTCTCACAGAAAGGCGCCCTGGTGGCACAGTGGTTAAGCGCTCGGTTGCGAACCGAAAGGTCAGCGGTTCAAACCCACCAGCTGCTCCATGAGAGAAAGATGTGGCAGTCTGCTTCCTTAAAGATGTAGAGCCTTGGAAATCCTATGGGGGCAGTTCTACTCTTCCCTATAGGGTCACTAGGAGTCAGAATCAACTCTAAGGCAACGGGTTTCTTCTAGAAACCCCACATCTCCTCTTGCTTCCACTTCACTTCCATCATTATTTTTAAATTTATGGTGGTAAAATACAACAAAGAGGATTCCTGGTGGCTCCGTGGTTTATCACTCGGCTGCTAACTGAAACATTTGCCATTTCAACCATTTTCACGTGTACGGTTCAGTGACCTTAATTACGTTGACCCTGCTGTGTGCGACCACGTGGTTTTCATCACCTTTGACAGAAACTCAGTGCCCCTTAATCAATAACTCCCTATTTCTGGGTAATTTTGCATGATTTTTGAAGGCCCTAGCCCTGTGGCTGGTGGTGGTTTTATGGACATTT